AGAGAGAGAGAGAGAGAGAGAGAGAGAGAGAGAGAGAGAGAGAGAGAGGAGAGTGGAAAGTCGTTCAACTTTCAAGCTGTGATACTATTCCCTCGAAGGCTGGTAGTTGAACTGCTTCGACGCTTCCCCGCCCCCCCCGCCTCCCCGCTTCTCGCTCTCTCTCTAAATTATTGTGATGTGTGAGAGTTGAGTCGCTTAAGAGTCGAGATGGTGCACGCCGTGTCGTCGTGTCTCAAGCGGCAGATTGCGTATTTTATTTATCTCGAACAGGTAGAAGATAATGTTGGTTTACTGAAGCTGGCGATCTTCGCAATAGCGTGGGCCTTCGGACAGTGCATGACACGGGGCATCCTCTGGACCCTTGGCGGCCTTGTGGCCGTAGAAACTTTGTCGAAAGTCGTGCGACCGTCCATCCATAGCTCTTACTTTCTTGGTAAGTCCTGCGCCGAGGTCATGTCTGGCCTCGGACAGTCAGTAAGATTCACACCGTGCACTTTGATTGCAATTGTCCGTCTTGTATGCGCGGGCGTTCAAATATGTCTGATGTGTTACCTCCGTCATGCTCTTCCTGACCTGAAGCACCACGAGGAGAACTCTACGGAATTGGGCTTTCAGCGTCTGGAAGAGGTTATGATAGTCATTTGCGGTTTCCTTGTTTTGCAGTCTTCCGTCGTCTGCTGCCTTGCGTTTTTCTCTCCTATAGACCTCGTAAGAAGGCGATCTCTATGTATCTGTAGATGCTTCCTTCGAGACCTGTCTTCCGGTCTAAGGGAGCTGAAACATTCTCTTTTTGGACGACGGGAGCTTGACGGTGAAAACCTATTCCTCGAGCGAAGGCACCGGGTTCGCTGGAAAATAAGAGCAGGCTTGACCTGGTACGTGCACCGGCATCGTCATCGCAGGTTCGACGCAGCGGACGCTCGTGTGAACGACGACGCGTGCGGTCTGCCCGCCTACTGGTTCTATAGCGTGGAGGAGCTCGTGCTGATGGTCAGACGTCCGCTATCATCTCGGAGAGATATCATGATGGCTTTGGAGTCTCTGTTCCGGTTATCCAGGAAACGCAAGGTGTGCTACAAATGTCGTCCAGCAGATTCTGACGAAACTTCTTGCTTTTCAGATCTGCCTGAGATTAGTCGCTGCACACATGACGTTGATCTGGGTCGAGACTTTGCCCAAGCTGAAGGATATTCCGCCATGCTGTGGGTGCTCAAGTGCTGGCCATCAGACTCCCATGAGGCTGAACTGGCTGCCTCGATTCTCGCAGGTTTCTTTGCAGGTCTCCCTGTCCTTCCCTGGCAGCCCGATCGCAACAGCGCAGATAAAGACTTCATCTTGGATATGCTGCGGAACGAGAACTTCAGGAATTACACAAAGGAGTTGTTATGTTTGCTCCTCAGGCTGTTGTCGCCCTATGCTACGGAAAGTCAAGGTGACCAGAAGCTCCAGGTCCAAGAGGCTGCCGCATCTGCTATTTCTGCGCTCGCACTTGCAGCGAGTGATATTAATGCTCTTGTGAACTGTCCGGTGCGGTTGCACCTGCTAGAAAATTTAGCTCATTCGCCCAACAGTCCGGCAATGCGGGGCTATGTGACACGGCTCAGCTGTGCCTTCACGACCATTTGTCCCGTCGGATGGCATCTTGACAAGGATTGGCCGACGAAGTTTGACGACGCCTTTCATGCTTGGGTTGAGGACGTAAAGGAATTCTTGTGCGACCAGGCGACAGTAGAGATTCTCCTGGCCTGTGCGAAGAACGACGCATCGAGCAGCATCGTGGCAGAGTGTATCAGGACTCTCTCCTGGCTGTGGAGTCGTAGGACGATCTACTGGCATCGCCATGACAAGAGGATGAAGGACGACTTCCCTCCGCCTCTCGGCGAAATACCCAGACTTCATAGAGAGGCGAACGTTCGCGATCTGCAGAATCTTCTATCTTTGTGCGTGGACCGACCGGAATCTCTCTCCCCTCTCCTCCGGCTGCATCTGGCCAAAATCTTCATCTCGCAGCAGATTCAAGACGTGTACACGGAGGTGGCTGAGGTCCTGCTGGAGTGCCTAACGGCCCTAACGGACTGGCGGTTTGAACTCAGGACGAGAGAGGAGGAATGGTTTGCCACTGAGACCATAGAGTCCATCCGTGATCTGGTGCATGATCTGCAGCAACAGTGCAAGCCACAGCACGACCTAAAGCGCGAAATCTGCAGATCTCACAGGGCTGTCAGGTGTCTGCAATCAGTGCTTGTCCGTCCCATCCAGGAGAGCGTGGAAGACCGCCATGGTCGTCTGGTGGACTCTATGAGTCGATGCACAGCCGCTGCGGCGGGACTTCTAGCGGATTTGCTTGAAGTACCAAATTCATGCGAGGAGGGTTTATTGCCAAGCGACCGGTCTGAGGAAACTCTTCACGGGCAACCTGTACCTGACACAGAGATTGGGGTCAACAGAATCAACACCGTGTACTCGCCCGGCGAGTCATCGGCCAACGCAAGCGGAAGGGACGCAGGCGGCGCTGTTGGTGTAGGCGCACGAGAGTACTCTACCAGACCGTCAGCTGCTGAAAGAGGCGAGGCAGCGGCAGCGAGAGCAGAGGAGCAACAGCTGGCGAACAGACTTTCAAGCCAACCGCGGAGGACTCGCCACCAGCTCCGCGTACCTCAACTACGACGGGTAGGAGTAGGAGTCCCGATGGTCAGCGTTTTACAGGGGAACCCCGGGGTAGATGGGAAGTTCTTGATGTCGTTCTTCGCGAGCTTGCGTAAAATTCTCCGCATGAGAAACTCTGAATCCTTACGTCTGGGAAGTGAATCTGATGCAGTGGAAGCTGCTGGTAACGGAGGGACTGGATTCGCCATACGTTTCCGGAGGTGTGGGATTTTGCTGCGCCGGTTGTTTGCTCGGCTCGGACTCATATTTTGGGAGTCTCTAGGCAATCCGGCTTGGGTACCAGCAATTTGTTTATTCGAGGACTTAGAGGGGTCTTTGACAGTGACAGGGGAGCCGAGAAACACCATCCAGTTACTTGAGCGGGGTCTGAATGCTTTGCTTGAAGAAAGGAACGTAATTCGGCTTATCCACCAGGTCCTCAGCAGTTACCCGCACCGTCTCGACGCGAGACTGGTCACGGCATTCATTCCACCAATGGTCGACGTTCTCGCCGGACCCTTTCCCAGACTGGACAAGCGGCTAGAGCTTGGGGAGTTGGAGACGTCTGCAAATAAATCCATGGCGGATGGCGTAATAAAGGTGTTGACGCTAATCATTCCCCGCATTGCAGAGGTACGCGGAGATCCGACGCCACAGGAATCCAATGCCGATCCATCGCTGCCGTCCATTGACAAATTGAAGAAGGCGACAGCTAAGCTGGAGGTCTGGGCAAGGCCGAAGGCCGTAACGGACGTCGCAATCGAGGAGCTTCTGACTGCGATTCACTGAAATCCTGAGCCCAGTGGACGGGGGTAGAGAAGGCCTGGATGTGAAAGATATCCTCCTCCGAGGTGGGAAGCACCTGCTGAGGGTGAAGCAGATCATAGACCCAGCCGTGAGCAGACACCCGAGCATGCAGTAGATTCTGGTTTCTTGGTAAAGCCGGTGGCTGAGGGGGAAGCAGGTCCACACCGTCCGGTATTCCAACTAGCGCCTGATGGTCAACCCGATCCTGGTTCGGCGCCGACGATGTATGGTAGACAAGACACGGTAAGGGAGCTCCTGCGCTATGAAAACTGTGGAGACTCGGAACCTAAAACGTAATTATTTAAAACCGTAGTGGAGACGGGACCGCCGGACGTTACTTCCAACGTGCCAATGGCCAATGGCCACAGTTATGACAAGTGCAAGGAATACATGTGCAGTGCCTCCTGGCTAAGTAGTACATACGTCGTCACTGCTAAACAATCCTGTTTGGTACAATAAAATGCAGAGGTGACAAGAAACGAGGCTCATCCGTAACGTCTTCCGCATAGCAATACCAGCGCCAGTTCATCTCTGTCGATTATCAATGGTTGTGAATCAGGCGATTTCAGGTGAGTTGAGTATCATACTGTATGGTCATGTGGTAGTCGATCAGATGCGCACGGCAGTTCGTTTGTTATGTTTCGTCCTACTGGACAGACGCATTGGTAATGACTTTAGTTTACAACTATTCACCTCGATTGATCATTGTTCTTCCCCGTTTACTCTGTGAGTAGGACTGGGCATCCACAGGAAGAGGGCGTCTTTATTTTTATTTTTTTTCAGGCAGCAGACGAACTTGTTCAAGAGGGCATCATCATTTGTTTAGTGCAAATGTTGTGTCCTCAGTCAGCGGCAAGAGAGAGAGAGAGAGAGAGAGAGAGAGAGAGAGAGAGAGAGAGAGAGAGAGAGAGAGAGAGAGAGAGAGAGAGAGAGAGAGAGAGAACTGGGCAAAGGGGCTCATTTGAATTTCTCAGCAGGGTGGGGTGAGGGGTCGTAGTTTTGTCAAGAAGCGCAGCCTGGGTTGGCATTGATAAGGCACTGCAAACCCCTTTAGAATCTTGGTCATCCTTGCAAGATGACATTTGTGTGTGCCGTACCAGCTTCCGTACCCAGACAATCTTCTGAAGTTCTGAGTTTTTGCTTTTGGGATCTCTCTCGGGCTTTTGAGGTACCCCTCTTTTTGGTATCACCTCTGCGCACGGAATCGCAGGCCAATCAGGCCCTCTCGCGTTTAAGACTATGTTTCTTTTGGACTTCTTTGCAATTTCTTTTCGGCAATCCATGCATCTACGTAGGAATTACGCACACTTTAGTGAGTGCACTAGGAATTTTGTTCGGCAGTTGGGAACTCCGGAAATTACGGCCCGCCGACGTGTCCTTTCTTGCAAATGGATGTTCCTGCACTCCCTTGAAAGATCTGTGAATTTTCAGTAGGAATCTTGAGAGATGTAGAATTTTTGTGCGTTCAATTCCGCGTGCTGATATTGTTTTTGAAATTTTCAATATTGAATTAGTGTTAGAACCAGAATGAATGGGGCGTAACTGTTGCGGTGCCTTTTTCTTTTCTGTACCCGTGCCAACCTCGGGCCACTGAAAGTGACGGCAGCGGGTTCTGAATCCGAAACCTACTGATCTAGCAGGCGGGTCCTCATCTTCATCATCATCATCATCGTAAGACAGACCGACTTATGGGCGATTGCAGAGGTGCTCTCCGTCACCTTCAGAAGCAGGAACTAGAGGACCCTCTGCGACCAGTCGTCTGCAGAACCGGGGTTCTTTGCTCAGGCAATAAGGGTTGGACAACATGGTTATGTTAAGCTGTGGTAGAAAAGGCACGTCATGGCCTGCTAGATGAAATCTGCAACGATCCATAACTCAATGTTTCTGTTTCACAGGGACGCTGGACCTGTTTTCCAGCAGGTGTAGCTCCCCACCAATGGAACGGAGCACTCAACGAGTTGAGGCCTCAGACAGGAAGGTCCTCCTACCACCTCCTGCCAGAAGCCCATCCGCCTGAGTTTCGGGGGGGGAGGGGGGGGGAGTTTATAATCTACTGGTTCTTCAACCGTTTTCCGACATTGTGACAAAGGGTGTTATTCTGAGAGAGTTGCCCTCTGTTGTCCGGCCTTCCCTGGATGATAAAGAGTGCACAGTCAGATATTCAACCTCCTTCTCCTCCTCCCCCTGCCGCCGCTCCTTCCTTTTCCTCTGCTCTCTCCTCCTTCTCCCTCTGTCTCTCGTGTCTTTCCTTTCTATTACTTCTCGCCCGCTTCTGATCTTCTCCTCTCCTTCTTTTGATGGAAAGGGTGAAGCACAGTTAGCAGTGTTACAGTGTAGGAGACAGAGGAGGGAAGGGGGAGAGGAGGCGCTGGGAATAGGAGGGGGAGGGGGAGAGAGGAGAGATGTGGCATGGCGAGGGAGGCGTGCGGCTCACCTCTGGTTTGACCTTTCAAAATGGAGTGGGCGGTGGGGCACTGGGGTAGAATCTCCTCCAGTGGGTGGGTGCTAGGTAGGGATTTTGAGGCCCTGAATGTCAAGGAGGGGAGGACATTGGACCCATGGAGGAAAGAGGAGGAGATTCCTCAGATTCGGGCAGATATATGTCACTTCTGGCAGTTGTTTCAGAAGATGTTATAGTCTCATGTTTGGATAACTTGTCATCATCTTCATTTTGGATGGATGTCTTTTATTACAAATAATACTGACTTATTTATTATTATTACCAAGTCTTATAACTTTCACTAGTATCCGATGGTCTAATCTAGAATCAGGAGTTGTAAATGCATTTGGAATCGAATTCTGAAGATAATATCGCCGAAAATATCAAGCCCAGTGCCCACAAATTTTTCCTTTGATCAATATGTCCGAAACTGGTCTTAACAGGCTCGTCTGATTGGTATTAGGATCACTTATTGGTAATAGGTCTCGCATTACTCCAATCGAAGTCGGGCATCTCGATTCGTGATCAAAGCCTTCGGCACTTGGCCCCTCCTTGAGAAAAGGTAAACAGGAAATATAGGGCGGACTACACAGCTTGCACTGTTTTTTTTCAGGGGGGGGGGTTCTACTGCTTTTCCGAAAGAGTTCAACCCTTTACTACCTTTAGGTAATGTCCATGTGGTTTTGTGCTATGAGTGGTGAAGTCTTGGACAAGTGATATCATGGGTCTGGATCCTCAACACAACATTCCAAATGTATCTGGATCTGTAATGACCTGCAAAATTGCCGACTGAGAAATCTGCTGTTTTCTGAGTATTGCTGCATGCTAGACTGATTTGCTGACATTCCTGAACACTGACTTATATCCCCGTGTGTTTGATGTGTGTCTGAGAAGAAGGAGAGTGAAGGAGGAGCTTACCTTGGCTATGGTGGTCTGCATCTTCATCTTCTTGGTTGGCGCGGCACCTGGAAAGAAGACTCCGGGGGTGGGAGAGGCAAAGTAGCCTTGCATTGTCCTTTGAACATTGGATCCTACCTCCAATGGTCCGCCATAGCCACCGGCTAGAAGGAGGTGTAGGATGGCTATGGCAACTTCTTGAGTGGTTGGCAGTAAGGGGAGGACTCGGACATTTATTCTGGTTTACTCATTCATTGTTGTTGTTATTATTATATGTAGTTATAAGATGTTTGGAGAGATGCTGGACGTGGGAGATGGTGGTGAGATGGTGGTGAGATGAGGTACAAGTGACATTGGACCATTGGTTCTTGCTTGTGTTTATCTTCTTTTTCTTCCCTTCTCAGTTCTTCTTTCTCCTTTGTCTATTTCTCTTTTCAATCTCTGCCACTTCAGTTGCAAACTTGCAATAGAACGGCATTGTCTTTCCTGAGATTGTGCATGGTGAGATACCCAGGATTATATCAGTGCTGTTTGGTATTTCCACTATGTTCACGATGTTTGATAAGCCCGAATGTATCTGGTCCATAGCACATTCTAGATACGTGCCGAATTTTGAGTAGTGAAGCAAGACCACAGGTTTGGAGTGCGGCAAATGTACATGCCAATAGGAGGGATTGATTTGTATTTCTCTATTCTTTACCCATCATCTATGAATCCCCCGCGGCCGCGGTCACCGCGGGCAGGACCGTGGCACGGCCGTGGGCCCCCGGTCATGACCGCAGCGACCGCGGAATGCCGCGGCCCGCCAAGGCCGAAGGGAGAGGGGGTTGGGGGTCAGGGTTTCGGATCGGGGTGCCGGGATCCCGACCCTACCCCCTTGAAAAAAAAAAAGTTGAAAAAAATAATTTTTGTGGGGGTCGTTTTTTGTGTGTGGAAATGAAAATAAAATAAAATAGAAAAATAAATAAATACTGATTGCTTTGTTGGTTTTTGATTGATTAATTGATTGATTAATTGATTGATTAATTGATTGATTGATTGATTGATTGGTTGGTTGATTGATTGATTGATTGATTGATTGATTGATTGATTGATTGATTGACTGATTGATTGATTGATTGGTCGATTGATTGATTGATTGATTGATTGATTGATT